TGTAAGGGGCAAAAAATTAATATGCTTGATATGTGAAACATGGACGGTGGACACGGCGGAAAGGAAAAGGGTAGAAGCGTTCGAAAAGTGATGTTACAGGCGAATGATGACAAAACCGTGGATAGAGAAAGTTAGAAATGAAGAGGTATTAGAAAGAATAGGAGAACAGAGGACTCTATGGAAGTCAATAAGAAATAGGCGACATAGGTTGATAGGACACCTTCTTAGTAAAGGTCTAGTCAGAGACATATTAGAGTCAGAAATAGAAGAGGAGTAGAGGTAGACCTAGATTAGATTACTGTTCGCAAATAAATAGTTAAGGATGTGAGTTGTTCTAGTTTCAGGGAAATGCGAAGATTAGCTCAGGATAGGAAAAAATTGAGGTGCGTGTGCGACCAATCTTAGGACTGACCACATTATGATGATGATGATAAGTATAATTCCCGCGCTTTAATGTGACACAAAAACTACGCGCCTAGACCTTTTCTCCCGTTGTAGCAAGTCATGCAATCATGTAGATTTGAATTTGGTGGTAGCGAAAACATAACAAGATCAGAACGATATGGTTAATGAGTCTTCATTCAGTCTCAAAGGTTTTCTATTTAAATATGAGGAAACTACTGTCTTATAAGGGTAGAAAAATAGGGAATAATATTTCTCTTTACTATCCTAACTTTTTTATTTTACGTTTGTCCATAATAGATATTTTATAAGCAAAGCTTTGAAGTCGGTTTTTATTTTTGCTAATTCGATTTATTGTGATAAGTGTAGTAATAATCTTATTCATTTGGACGTAATTATTATTAGATGACGTATGTACTTATTAATTATTCTGATTAACACAAACACGCTAATTGGTTTTACTAAACTACAAAAATTTCTACTTATTTATCTGAAAATATTACAAACATGTTAAAATAAATAAAAAAAATGTATTTATTTAAAGATATTTGTAGACAATATTCAGTAGCGAAAATTTATATTTGAAACGCAAAGTAACAAGACACAAGTTCAATAACTAAAAATAAACTAAAAACTAAAATAGCAGAATTTCACAAATGGTGCTATGTTATTTGTTGAAAGAATTAAAAATAGAGCAACTACAGCTAGCGTATAATAAATGATTGATTTTTTGTAATTTGACAGACACATAGATGGTCTTTTACTAAAATTGCAAAGGTATTTGAATGGCTTTATAATATCTTATCGTTAGATAGATACCTAAGAAGGATTTGTTTCAATAGATACGTCACTTATAACAAATTCAAAAAATTATTTCGAAGATATTATTTGGCATTAGTGATATTCTAATTTTTTAAATTAAAGACAAAATTTTTTTGCTATAAAATAATAATGCATGCAATATTTTATCAATTCATGTTTTTGAACAATTAATCTTTAGAGGCATTGTTTTACTAAAATACAGATGTCTATTATAATTCGTCAAACGGAATGGAAAATTTTTAATTGTCCCTATAGATGATATTTAACTACAATGATTCGTATTGACACAATATTGAAAATGTTTTGGAAAAGTTTGGACAAAAGTTGATTTTTACATGTAAATTGGCAAAAAACTACGCACATCATTAATAAACTTGTTCGCGTGCTCACAAGTGCGAAGAATTTTGTTTATACATAGATAATTAAATCCACGTGCACTATTTTCATGTAAATTTGTCCCTCGTTCAACTTATAAGTTTTGCTACTAGCTGAGATTGCTAGAGTTTTTACCTAAATTACTCCCGAAACATCTGTTATCGTCTGTTGTATCATGAAATTGTCTTGACACGACATTAGTGTTTTATTACATAATTATGTACACTAATTATAGTTCACAACCCATGGCACTTCTCCCAAATTAATTGGAAAAATTGTAAAATGGTATTCAGTCAAACCATTTAAATCTGTTAATGGAAAAGTTTTGATAAAGAAAAATCATTTTACTATGCGATATTTATATTTAACTAAAGGCGAGTGCAGTAATATGGTATAATTTTTACAATATAGACGTATATCATCTATATATTTTATAATTTTATTGTTTTCTATAAAAAGTTAGGCCTTGTCATATTTTTTAATAGGGGGTTAATATCAAACATTAATATGAAATTTCATTTTTAATTTTCAATCCCATTACAAACAACCTCAAGTTAATGAGGGAAAAATTTATCATTTTTTTATTTTATTTAGATCATATTTTTTAATAGTTTTTACACAATTTCAAGAAAAAGCATTTTATGAATCATTTTAATGATCATTGATAAATCATTACTACTTCAATACACCCATAAATAAAATTATTTTGATGTTGGTTCATGAAAGAAACGCTTCTCTTTGAAGTTTTGGTCTAAAAATGGAAGAAATGCTAAAAATACGGCAGCAAATTTTAGGTGGCAACTGGAATTTTGTAAGTGATAGTAAAACTTGGATCATTTTATAGCACTTTCTTTAAATATGCACCTGTAGTGTATATAAATGTTCAAAATATCACTTAGATCAGTTGAAGAACAAAATACCAAATGTTTTAATTTTTATTATGCGAAATTTTTTATATTTCTAGAAGTAGGTAGGTACATTGTACAATTCAGCCCTTCCCTTCGTGAGAAAAGAACATTGTTCTGCCATTATTAAAAATATTCATATTGTTTATTAAATAATACAAATATGGGAGAAAAAAGGTCTACATCTTCAGCGTTCTATTATATAATTAATTTGCTGTTGTCCGACTCCCTACTTACTGATTTAAAAAACCTTTTTGACTTAGTCTTGGAATATAGCAAGAAGATACAAATTTAATAGTATAAGTAAAAGAAAAGCTTTCGATAATCATTCAGTTCTAATTCTATTTTAAAATTATAATAAGCGACAGACTTAATTTTATTAATTTTATAATATACCTACATTGTGTCAATAATTATCATCATTTAAATTTTAATTTTTGTAGATACTATTTGATAAGGATAAATTAAGTGAGAATTTACAAAAAAGAAAGTAGCTTATTCAAAACCAAAAAGTGGAATTTTGGTTAATATTTTATGTGTTCTGATAAACACATTATGCTTAAAAAAATTGTGACCAATGAAATTGTGTCATTCGATTGAAAACCAATAATAATATATTTAGTCAGATAATATCACATTTGCTGCAATGAATTTTTTACGAAACCTAGTTATAAAAATCCGAAAGAGTTGTTAACTTTTAACAACTTTAAGATTATGAAACTTTCTTTAACAATATTTCAAAGAGAAAGCATTTTGTAATTCAAATTAGAAGGCGAATGAATATTTTGCAGTTGAAATGATTGTTAAAAGGATTTGAATAATAAAGAAATTGTATCAGTATTTCTCTTTAATATTCCTTTGTATTTCTTAATGTGCACTGATTTATTATTAAAATAAAGTTCATAAAGTTTTTATTGTCTCATTTCTCTATAATTTGTCGTTACAAAACTTTTCCTTTCCATAAATCGACAATGATTATTTATTACGTACACAATAAACCTAATGAAGACAAAAAGTCAGACCTTTAACGAGACAGAATTGAATGAAAGTTCAGTTTAAACTTTTACGAAAATTTTGTTTCAAACTTGGATAGTAAGTACAACGGATGATGAAAATATCGTCGATATCGAAGGGATTAGAAACGAGGATGTATTGGGAAAAGTAAGATAACAATAATGGGCGCTATGGAAGTCAGTACGAAAAAGGAGAAACATAAAGAGCTACTTAGAGACCAATTAGAAGTAGAAACAGAAAATCCCAGATTAGGAAAATGGTTACAAATAAGTAGACCGACCTAGAGATTTTCCAGTATTCGGAAAATGCAAAGATTCGCTCAGGATATGAACTAATCCTCTGCCCTCAGACAAAAACGTTTTTAAATTTATAAGAAACTTCAGTTGAGGCATTATGTATAGACGGGACAATTTTTTTTTTTTAATTCTATCTACGGTATTGTGGAAAGTTGCAAGCAACTTATATTTGAAATGCATGGAATATGAGGATAACTATTATGACGTATGACAGGACGGGCTTTTACTCCCCTACAACGGTTGAACCGACGCGATATTAGAATGAGGTTTTAGTGCTACCTAATTTATTGCACTATACATACATATGTGTACCACTACATGTTCTAGTGCTCTTTTAGTTCAGTGACTTAATCACTGGTTTTTGTCGTGAAAGGCGAAATCAAACTGTTATTCTTTGGTAAACAGAATAAATATAATAATTCTAATGAAAATAATATGTCATTTAATAAGTAACACCGAAATAAAAAAATATTTCCTAAGTGAAAACCGAATTTTAGCTCTCATATTTCCGATCATTTTGCTATAAAAATACTTTGAAATTATTAATATTACTAAAAAGACTAGCTAAACTTTCTATGAAAATAACAATTATTTTATGTTTGACAGTTTTTGAGGAATTCATAATATGTATGAATAAAAAAACATAAATATTTTAAACAAATAAAATAAATATTGCTTATTACCATAAATAAGTGCCAAAAATACATCCTCCTTTTCTCGGGAATTTGCAAGTCGAAAAATCCAAAATAATTTACGCAGTTAACACGTTTTCTAAATATTACTAGGAAAATAAAATAACATCATTAACATTATGTAGGTAACAGTTTCAATAAAAAAAACAGAAATAAATAATTATCGTCCTTACTTATTTACAATATATCTAAATACATATGAAGGGTAAAAAAATAACTATTGTACGTTTCACGCACGCTTGAGCCGTGTGACCACTCTTTCCGCATCCTTTTTAATGAACGTAAATATATATATATCTTTTTGAATTCGTACTTAATAACGTATTTATTAAAGTACAGAACCTTTAATGAATGAATGGAATTAAGGTTTGTCCCTTATTTTTTTTTCACTCATTTAATTTACTTATTCATTTATGTAAATATTTAGAGTTGATATCTGCTACAGTTTAATAACCTTTCTATTTCAAGTTTAACATTAATTTATATTGTTGCAGGTTGCTTGAAAGATACCAATTGAAAAAAAATAAGTAATCAATTTTGAAAAAAAAAAGAAAACAGAATGATTGTACGGCTAGTGTGCAGACGCAACCTTTTAAACAAGTACACATGGTATTTTTCACAAAACAATTATTATTCAACCCAGACAAATGTTAAAAAGGAAAAAATTGAATACAAGCCAATTCGAAGTGTTTTGGTCGCCAACAGAGGAGAAATAGCAGTACGTGTATTTCGAGCATGCACTGAATTGGGAATCAAATCAGTTGCCATCTATTCCAAAGAAGACAGGGCACACACTCACAGGTAAAATAAAATTGCAAATATTACAAGCGTTTGGATACGAGCATTCTTTTCATCATCATCATAAGGTCGTCAGTCCTAAGACTGGTTGGACACGTACCTCCACTCTTTCCTATCCTGAGCTAATCTTCGCATTTCCATAAAACTATAACAACCCATATCCTTAACTATCTGCGAACAGTAATTTAATCTAGGTCTACCTCTACCCCTACTAACTTTCGTTTCTGCCCCTAATATGTCTCTGACTAGATCTTCGTGCCTGAGAAGGTGTCTCGCCTATTTCTTATTGACTTCCATAAAGTCATCTGTTCTCCTACTCTTTCTAATACCTCTTCATTTCTAACCTTCTCTATCCATGGTATCCTTATTATTCGCCTGTAACACCACATTTCGAACGCTCCTAACCTTTTCTTTTCCGCCGCGCCCACTGTCCATGTTTCGAACCCGCATAGAGCCGTGCTCCAAACATACACCTTTAACAATCTTTTCCAAATTTCTAAATTAACCGTTCGCGAGCATGGAAGTTACTTTTTATTATTGAAGGCGACTCGACCCTGCACTCTCCTCTGCTTTATATCCCTACTAATCCTTCCGCCTTGACTTATCTGACTTCCTAAATACCTAAAATCGGCCACTTTTTCTAATTTTTCGTGTTCTATCTTTATATTCGCTGTTTCCCTACTTTTTCTATCCTTGCATTCTTTTACTACTTAAATTTAGTTACATATAGATAACGAGGGTATTACTAAAAACATTTATAAACCCCGAAAAAAAGTTTCTATTTATTCTGTTTGTGACCAGCATTAACATATATCCTACAACGTTCCCCCTATGGAAACATCAACTTCAGTGTTTCTCATTCGAATTCTCTGAAGGAATAAGTGTATTAGTGAGGAGAAATTTTGAGATATCGATTACTTTAGAACTCTTCAGGGTTAATTAGTGATGTGCAAAATTGATCTTTGTCTTGCAGTCTTTGTCTTGATCTTGCAGTTTCGCGAAACACCGAACGAACAAGGCCAAGATTAAAAGCAAGACCGGACGAACAAGATCAAGACTAGAACAAAGACTGAATATGCAAGACCAACACCAAAAACGCAAGACTAAGACCAAGACTATCAGCAAGAACAAGACCAAGATTAGAAGTAATTAAGCAAGACCAATACCAAGACTGAATAAGCGAGATCAATACCAAGACTAAGACAGTGTTGGTTTAGGTCTTCCTTTGTTCACCACTAGGGCTAACCTAACTCCAAAACATATGACACTAAAAATTTGATATACTTCTTGGTAACAATGTTACTTTCTTGGGACGAAAGATAAATTACCGAAAGGTACTTCTAATGTTTAGTGCCTTAGCTTTGAGATTTAAGCTATTTACTGCGTTCTGCAGAACCGCCAAAGTTTTCAGTTCGTTTGATGATCTAAAATGTTAAAATTGCTTTCTTTTTAAGGAACTATGCCCGATTTCATTATATCCTCGTTCTTTTTTAATTTTTCAGGTTAAAAGCAGACGAAAGTTATCTCGTAGGGGAAGGCCTACCACCCGTACAGGCATATTTAAGCATTCCTGATATTATTAAAATTTGTAAGGACCATCAAGTCGATGCAGTGCATCCTGGTTATGGATTTTTATCGGAAAGGGCTGATTTTGCTCAAGCGGTTGTCGACGCAGGACTTAGGTTTATTGGACCAAGTCCATTTGTTGTCCAACAGATGGGTGATAAAGTAGCTGCTAGAGAAGCTGCTGTTTCAGCAGGTAATTACTAAATTGAGAAAAAAAAACGTCGCATAAATTTTAATTGGAAGCAGACCAAATACAGACTCTTACAACTTACACTAAACATTTGATCAGCTACTGAAGAGTGGAAATACACAAACCACGAAATGGAAATGTTAAATGTCCACAGTCATTCAATTTGTATTCGATAATGAATAAATCACTTATAGTCATACGTTTAAGTTAATGTTAATTTATTGTTCAGGTGTACCGATCGTTCCTGGAACTGATGGACCTGTCACAACTACGGAAGAAGCCGTCGAATTTTGTACGAAACATGGATTACCTGTGATATTCAAGGTATTACATGCAAATGACAATACTGAAGTGAAAATGTCTTTTTTATGCAATTTTTATTTAGGCAGCGTATGGTGGTGGTGGAAGGGGAATGCGTGTGGTGAGAAAAATGGAAGAAGTGGAAGAAAATTTCAATAGAGCTTCTTCGGAAGCGAAGAGTGCTTTTGGAAATGGAGCTATGTTTATCGAAAAGTTTATTGAAAGACCCAGGCACATTGAGGTACAATTATTAGGTAATGGATTTCAAGAGTTTTTCTTATTTGGTTAGGTTAGGTTTGGTTAACTTCTGATAGGTCGCTATTTTCATATTTTGTATATTATGAGTACTTCCAAAGTGGCTTATAGTTCAATTAACTTTTTGGATTTAGAACAATCCTCAGATGCTTTCAATGACTTACTATTTTCTCAAATATTGATGAATGTTACCCTAATATAAATTCCAAAAATTGAAATAAGAAATTTTCAAAGGACGACTTTGGATATGTTTACAATACCATGAGAAAAAAACATGTCAAATTTTTGTGAGAACAGGAAAAATAGCGTAAATGCTTTAATTTCTACGTGCTCCTTTTAGGTGATAAGGGTGGAAACGTCGTCCATTTATACGAAAGAGATTGTTCTGTCCAAAGAAGGCACCAGAAAGTAGTTGAAATCGCTCCAGCTCCGCGTCTTGATCCAAGTGTTAGAGACAAAATGACCGAATGCGCCGTCAAATTGGCAAGACACGTTGGTTACGAAAATGCCGGAACTGTCGAATTCCTTTGTGACGAAACCGGAAATTTTTACTTTATTGAAGTCAACGCGAGATTGCAAGTGGAACATACAGTCACAGAGGAAATTACTGGGGTTGATTTGGTCCAATCCCAAATAAGGATCGCCGAAGGCTTGACCTTGCCAGAACTAGGACTGACACAAGACAAAATTAAACCTGATGTAAGTAGAACGAGACACTTTAATTAACTTGGCCATACTTTATTAAAAATCAATGTCTACTTAACACAATTACAGGAGTATGTTTTCAAAGATAAGAGTATTCGTACGTATAACTTAGGTGTTTAAATGATTCTAAAAATTTTACGTCAACAAATTCTCGTAAAAACTGATAAAATAAAATTAGAATACAATCCCACAAAATACCCACAATTTTTCTGAATTACATAGTTTTTCGTAAAATTTTTAAACCATGAGTCAAAGTCAAAGAGTATACAGGGTGAGTCACTAAAACCGAATTGGACTGTAATATACGTACAGTTCTATACATTATGTCTGATCAGTATTCCAGAATATTTAAATGGTAGCATCTGGAGACGGTGTAGAGTGCATCTCGTTATAGCGCCACAACGTAAGAGGTGTAAAAAGTATGCATAAAAATAGCCCAGTTGCCAGTTTAACACCCGTGTTATCGCCCTTCGTTATCGCAAACGTCAAGAGACGAAACCGTACCTATTCGTGACCTTCGTAACAACTGATACACAGACAGGTCGATTGGACGTAGCCTGTACTCCGTAGTTACTATTTGATTGCCAAAGTTAATGCTATTACTACAAAACATAAAAATAAGTTGGGTGCGGAAATATTAAACAAAATTGGGTAATTGGGGCTTTCGATAAGGTCACTACCCTCATGTTCATGTATATCACTAAGTGGTGCGAAATGGCTCATTCTATTTCTTTTTCATTTATCTTCTTTTCCCTTAATTTTTTCGTTGTGTAAGAAATAATAATATTCCACAATCCGCACACAAACGCTTCACTCTTTCATTACTTTACCCAACCTAACCTAACCATAAACGTCTAAAGAGGGTCTCCTGTGTTATCTACTACTTTGTATCACAGTGTAGGGATTGTCTCCTTACTAATATCAACTAATGAGAATGAAATACAATATATTTTCCATTTTTTAAGTAAATTCACACTTACCATCAATCAATACGTCCAGTTAAAGTAACAATTATAATTGCCAATGCCCATTTACAAATAAAAATCTGAAATATATAGTAAGATAGACTCATGGAAGTTGTAGACAACTTAAATAATTTGTCATTTGAACTGAAGAAGAATAGAAATGATTCCAAGGACTCGCGGGTTTCAAATAATTATGATACGATACTTTTCAAAATATTCGTAGTTTTCTTTTTATATACTATATAATTCATACTTATTGTCTAAGTAAAAGAAAAATGTAAACAAAAAAAGACAAAAATCCAATAATTTTTGACAGGGATTCGCTATTCAATGTCGTGTAACGACAGAGGATCCAGCCAAAAACTTTCAGCCTGACACTGGAAGAATCGAAGTATTTAGATCTGGAGAAGGTATGGGCATCCGTTTAGATGGAGCTTCAGCTTTTGCAGGTGCCATCATATCCCCATATTACGATTCCTTGTTGGTCAAAGTGATCGCTCACGCAAAAGATCTTCAAGCTTCTTGTTCCAAAATGACCCGAGCTCTTAAAGAGTTTAGAGTTCGTGGAGTTAAGACGAATATTCCGTTTTTATTAAACGTACTGGAAAATCAGAAGTTTTTGCACGGAATCGTTGACACTTATTTTATTGATGAGAATCCTGAATTGTTTACTTTCAAACCAACTCAAAACAGAGCTCAAAAATTGCTTAATTACCTCGGTGCCGTTTTGGTTAATGGACCACAAACGCCACTCGGTACGAAACTTAAACCTGCCGAAATACAACCTCACGTTCCTTCCGTGTCTCTAGGTAAGTTTTTACTTTATGTTTTTAATATTAAACACTCTTTAAAACACAGGTAATAAAATACCAAACTTAATGAATTTTAGAGCTTTTTATGTAGCGTGATATTTCACTTGCGAAGCTTTTTTCATGTTGTATGTAGGTGTAGATACAAATTTAAAAAGAAGCACTGAAAGAAATAGCATTTGTGTTATGTGTTGTACATATGCTAAAAGTAGATTACAGGTATATTTCGTTTTTAATTACGTAAATTAGAAACGTCTCCAAATAATCGAGAAAAAGCACCACACACAGTTATGGTAAGTTCATTCCTAACAATAAAATAAGTTTATATACATGTATTTTTGCAAACCTCCAAATTTATATGAAGAAATCTTTTGAATTATTTAAACAGTAAATGATACCTCTTTAATAATTCTTAAATTTGGAAGCATTTGAATTTCTTAGGTCAATTTTATTTAGTACTTATCCTATTTACTACTGTTCAACTTAATATGTTTTTCTTAATCTGCATTTCATAAATTACTAAAATAACTTTTGCTTATCAATTAACTATAATTATTTTTCATTGCAGTACTGCAAGAATTTTCCGGTCATCTTGGCAGTGGTCTTTTCGACGTTATTACTGACGTTTCGCCTGCAACTACACCAGGTATTTTCAAAGATTGGTCGCTGAAAATCTAGATCGAAGTGTTCGCCGGGGTTCTTCATTGGTAAGTGATGACGTCTATGACGTGTTGACATTTATATCCACTCGTCTGTGAAGAGGAGGGCGCTTCCATTGGTTCTCGTTGCATTCAGTAACCAACTGGAACGTCAGCAGTAAGAATCAATGGATACCACCCTCACCGACGAATTGATATAAACGGCAACACATTTCATACGTCATCACTTACCAACCAAGAGCGTCGGTGAACACTTCGGCCTACATTCGTATCTATCAATCTTTGAAAATGCGAAACGTCAGGAGTAATATGCAAAAGACCATAGCTAATGAGCCCAAAAACTTATACATTACTGAATACGTGGGGCGTCAAAGCCTAACACATTAACTTAACGCTCTGAATTCTTCCAAAAATAAGTTAGTTTGTAAAAAGTATTGACACCAGTTTCAATTTCAAAATATTTACTTTTGATAGATATTTTTACTTGTTTGCATAGCAAAATATTTTTTAAAACGTTTGAAAGTAGTATATAGTTCAGTAAAATAAAATAAACACACTGATTGTATATACCTATTATACATGTAGCTTTTTAGTATTTGTGTATTTAAAAATAGAATTGTGTGTAAAGTAGAAGCGAAACGCACATACAGATTACATTAAATGTTAGGACATTTTTTTTTGAATAATTGCTCATTCGTGTTTTCATTTTAATGAAAATTCATGGGAAATCTTTTGGATTTCTATAAGTAAACTACAATGTTATAACAGAAAATTGAAAGAAGAACTAGAAACTAACAATTCTGCTGTTTTTTGTGTTTAATGAGTTTATTATTGACAGTTTCAGTATGTTTTTTCTTATTACTTACAATTTTCTTTGCATGGTTTTAATAATTATTTTGCAATTTCCTTCTACAGAGTATCTCGCCGAGAGGAAAGGGAAAGCTGGGTCAAGTAAATAATTTTTATTTGCTTTATTTTTGCTTTTTGTTTAATTTTTGCTTTGGCTATGTTCATTTTAGGAAAATCTTAAACAAAAATAATTGGATTATTTAGAGATTTGTTTTTAAATATTCTAGAAAAAAATAATTATTAATGAATAATTACGAAATTTGCCGTTCATAAAGCTTAAAAAAGTTTCATTTACTTAATTGTTTTCAATTTATAATAAATTATATAAAATTTTTATTCGTAAACTCTGATTAATATGCATGTCCGGTGATTTGGTCCCGCCATTTTTAAAAAAGTTGTGCTCAAATGGCGCACTAATAGATATAATTCAACTCACCTTTTTTATATTTTTTAAAAAATGACTGGACTAAGTTACTGGACATTTGATATGCTTAAACCAAATTGTGTTAAACTATGTGGTAAGTTTGTTGTACTGGGTTGGTTCAACGAAAACAAATAACACATGTTATTTTTTGTACTTATTATTTTTTATACAATTTAACTAGAAGTGTTACTAATCGTCGTGACTCACGACTTTAATTAAATTGTAGTAAAATTATCTAGTTTTTAGTCAAGAAACTTATCATTTAAAAGTAAAAGTTGAAAATCATACTCCTAATAATTTTGTTGCTAATAGTTGTAATTTTTTTGTTGACAAACTGACTTTGGTCCTACTTATACGTCACGTCTGATTGAACCGTGACTTAACTGTTCCTTACTGCATTAATAGTGTCTGCTATTATATGTAATGTACGTGACTGTGTCTAAACCGAGACTTGTCCATGACTTGGCTGAAGTATGAATCGAGTTTTACAGAGCCTGAAGAATTTATAAGGTATGATCGATCGTAAGTATCGGTCAAGTCACAGATAAGTCACAATCTTCTCATGATTTAACTGTGAAATGACCGTAGTATGAATACTACTGTATTAAACGTATGCTATAACTGGATTATGACTTAACCGATATTATGACTCGGCCAAGTCACAGTCTATTCATCAAGATTTGACTGGGCCGTGAAATGACTGTCGTATGAATATTGCTGTAAGAAAAGTATGTTATAAAATTGTACTTGACTGTAACTGGATTGTGACTTTACCGATATTATGACTCATCCAAGTCACGGTTTCATCAAGATTTGACTGGACCGTGAAATGAATTGAGTATGAATACTGCTGTAAGAAACGTATGATATAAAATTTTATTTGACTGTAACCGCGCCGTGACTTGACTGATATTATAATTCGGTTCAGTCTTAGTCTGATCAAAATTTGACTGGACCGCGAAATGGCCGTAGTATGAATACTGCCGAATGAAGCGTATGCTATAAAATTTTACTTGACTGTAACTGGATTGTGACCGATATTATGACTCGGCCAAGTCATGGTCTAGTCACGGTCCATCAAGATTTGACTGGACCGTGAAATGACCGTAGTATGAATACTGCCATAAGAAACGTATGCGATAAAATTTTGACTTTCTTCCATCTTCAATAAGCATCGTTGGTAAATAAATTTACTTTTTATGGTGTTTGTTGTTGTACAATGTTAGTTAAAGTTTGAACCAACCTGTAAACTGAGTGTAATTATATTAATAATAGAACTTAACTTAGTTTTTTTAAAACGTAGAATCAGACCCACCTAAGGGATTCCGTCAAATATACAAAGAACAAGGTCCTGAAGCTTTCGCCAAGGCGATAAGAAATCACAAAGGCTTGCTACTTATGGACACAACATTCCGGGATGCTCACCAATCTTTGTTAGCTACGAGAGTTAGAACTCACGACTTATTGAAAATATCGCCTTATGTCACTCATAAGTTTAATAAGTTATATTCGATGGAAAATTGGGGAGGAGCGACATTTGACGTAGCTCTCCGTTTTCTTCACGAATGCCCTTGGGAAAGACTGGAGGAAATGAGAAAGCGTATTCCTAACATTCCATTTCAAATGTTATTGAGAGGAGCCAATGCTGTGGGATACACGAATTATCCCGACAACGTTGTTTATAAGTTCTGTGAACTTGCCGTAAGTGACTCTTATTTAAATAATTTGACTTTTCAAAAATTCAATTCAAAAACCCCTTGTTTTATCTGCTATATTTACCTGAGAATCAATAGGTACAAACTGGTATGGACGTCTTCCGGGTTTTTGATTCCTTAAATTACCTTCCGAATCTTATTGTTGGTATGGAAGCAGCGGGAAAAGCTGGTGGTATCGTAGAGGCAGCAATTTCATATTCAGGGGATGTCAGTAATCCAAATAAAAAGAAATATGATCTTAAATATTATCTCAATTTAGCCGATGAACTAATTAAAGCCGGCACTCATGTCTTGGCCATCAAAGATATGGCTGGTCTTCTAAAACCGGAAGCAGCTAAGTAAGATGCTTTTCATTGTTCCTCATATTATGAACCTCTCATCAAAAACTACTTTCAGACTTTTGATAACAGCATTACGTGATAAATATCCCGATATACCGATCCACATCCACACTCATGACACCAGTGGTGCCGGTGTGGCATCCATGTTAGAATGTGCTAAAGCTGGAGCTGATGTGGTAGACGTTGCAGTAGATGCCATGTCTGGACTGACTAGTCAACCAAGTATGGGCGCAATTGTTGCTTCCCTACAAGGCACCCCATTGGATACTGGTTTCCAATTGGCTGACATTTCCGAGTACTCGGCCTATTGGGAACAGACACGTACTTTATATGCTCCATTTGAATGTACAACCACCATGAAATCCGGAAACGCTGACGTCTACCAGAACGAAATACCTGGAGGACAGTACACTAATCTTCAGTTCCAAGCTTACTCTTTAGGTTGATAACCTTATTAATCTTTTTTTACTTTTCTTAATCTATTTTCGTTTTCTTAATATAGGTTTAGGAGAATTCTTTGAAGATGTCAAAAAGGCATACGCTGAAGCGAACAAAATTTTGGGTGACATCATCAAGGTGACACCATCATCCAAAGTAGTTGGCGACTTAGCCCAGTTTATGGTCCAAAACAAACTTACAGCCAAAGATGTGGAAGAGAAAGCAGAAGAACTATCATTCCCCAAATCAGTAGTTGAATATTTACAGGGACACATTGGGCATCCCTACGGCGGATTTCCTGAACCCTTCCGGTCAAAAGTACTGAAGAACATGCCCCGTATCGAAGGAAGACCCGGGGAAAGCATGCAACCGTTCGATTTTGATACATTAAAAAAAGATTTGCAAGCCAATTATGAGAATATTGACGACAGAGAGGTCATGTCTGCTGCCCTCTATCCACAAGTGACCAAAGAATATCTTTCATTCCGTGAAACTTTTGGACCAGTTGATAAATTGAACACCAGGATATTTCTGGTGGGACCAAAAGTTGGAGAAGAGTTTGAGGTATAGTTACTGCTTTAACCAAATAGCCACAAGAAAAAATTTATACCAAAATAAAGACCATGAAGGTCTTCGTGTTTAATATCTAACTTTTCTCGTTATTTTGAATTAAAAGTAAATCATTTCAAATTTGTTACAGGTAACAATAGAACGAGGGAAAACATTGGGCATTAAGACTTTGGCAATGGCAGAAGATTTAACCGAAACTGGTGACCGTGAGGTGTTCTTCGAACTTAATGGAACCCTTAGATCAGTAATGATCCGTGACAAGGAAGCTGGTCAAGAGATCCACATGCATCCAAAAGCCGATAAAACCAATCCAAAAGAAGTAGGAGCCCCAATGCCTGGTACAGTTATCGATGTGAGGGTAAAGGAGGGTGATACTGTGGAAAAAGGAACTCCACTAGTCATTCTTTCCGCCATGAAAATGGAAACAGTCGTTCAGAGTCCTGCGGCTGGTAAAATCAAGAGTTTAGAAGTCGGACTTAATATGAAATTGGAGGCTGAAGATTTGCTCGTAACGTTAGAATAAGTGTGAATATCCCTTTTAGATAAAACAGGTGGGCTGCTTTTCAACAATCGTCCTTATGTAGGTGCTAACAAAATTGCATTGTAAACTTGAAAGTGGAAAGAGAAATTTAAGTGAGAGTAAGTACTATAAGGCGTTACAATAATAGGTAATATTAATTTTTATGTTCGGTTAATAGACAGCCGGCTGTCGCATCACAATAAACATTTAAAAAAATATTTACACTAAAAAATTTTCTAAGCAACATTTTTTTCCATTTTTTCAAGAAATTAAGACTGAACATATACATTTACATGTACACTATGGTACCCTACAAATAGTCCAAAGAACAACAGTTGTTATTTTGTTTTGATCTCGCATGATGTACCTATAAATTTATCATATTTAATGATTTTCACAAAAAATCAGCTTAGTATAAAATTTCCAAACAGGTTACAAATTTTTTTATTACTCGCTATGTACATATACGATAACAACATTATAATATTAATGTTTTCTCTCTTTTTTTTTAATAATTATTAGAGCACTCTGTATACAATCAAAATGCGAATTTCATCATTTTTACCTTATTACTTATTACATACTGTTATTACTTATTATAACTATTTACTATTAAACATTAATAATTTTTGCATACTTCTTTACTGCCATGTCCAGATTTAAATAACTTACAACAGAAAGAAAATAATGAAGGTTAGATTGTAAGGAGAATTATTATGTTATAACGAATTTCTTCCAGAGAAGCAGCTAACTATAAAAAAAATAAATAAAAACAATTGTAAGTTAGTACAGTAAATGGGGAATGATTAGATAGATACCTTAAAGTGGCTGTGTCTTAAGAAAAATGAAATCTTTATGATGTCTTTGTTGTAGATAAATATCGAACAAATTTTGTTATATTACCTATACGTTGTTGTTTTATTTTTATTGACAATTTGTTATAATAATAAAAGTTTTTAGTCGTACTTTGTCGTTTGTTTTTCAAGTGAAACTTCTTTATCAACGGTAGGAAGGAAATTTACTAGGCTATAAAACCGAGAAGTGTAACGTCACGCGTCACAGCGTCACGCGCGATGGTGACCCCTGGTGGATATGTCCAAAAGGCGTCATTTTAACAAGCTTCAGAATCTAACCTGTTGGTAGCAACCGATAATTCGAAAATTGCCATTCTCAGGCATGAATTACTAGTAAGACACATATTAGAGGCAGAAATAGGAGTAAAGAGGAGTACAGGCAGACCTAGATTAGATTAGTATTAGGACTGATGGCCTTATGAGGATTATCATAAACGAAAATCTGAAAATATCTTCCGCTTTTCTGAAAACCCCGAACTCTCAAAATCTTTTGAACTCTCGCTCAAAAGCTTTAAATTCCATTTATGGGACTTCTATTAGTTTATTATTTATATGAAAATATAGCTGAAGGTATTTGTGTGAATTTTCCTTTACCATATCGCACTTTTCAAAAGATGATGACGTCGTTTGATGATTTTTTGCAAACGTTTGGAATTTTGGGGTTTAGCGTTTTATCTATGATGCTGTATAAGTATAATTGATGTCATTTTATTAATGGCAGAAAATGTGTTTAATAAACACAAATTCAAACCTAAAAGGTCATTTACGGCCTTTTCATTAAAACAATTCAATAATAAATACGCACAAATGCAAATCATACAGTAATAACACTATTATGAGTTTAAATAAATCTTACCTTTAAAAATAAACGCAAATCATTGTTATTAAATAACTCGTCACCACAACACTCCAATCGCGGCGCGGTCACGGTCACCCGAAAACTGAACAAAAACAAGAGCAACAGATAAAACATCTGCCATGACTCGATAAGGAAGAACTTTCTACAATGGCCTTGGACGACCTGATTTAGGTTTTTTGCTGCATTCGTTAAGGATGTTTACCAATGCTTCTGTTGTACTGTTCTTATTATACTTTTATGCTGAATAAAGCCACTTTCACACAGTGCGATAACAACACGATTTACTACACGCGATTTGACGTATCGCATCGGAACGTCGCATTCACAGTATGCGACTAAATATTGTTTCGATAACATTCCAAGTTAAAATGCAAGTCTATCTATCCCCGCAGTGTTGTCTGGCTTAGTTGTATGTATCTAATGGAGCGAAAAAACAGTAATTCTATTAAACTGAGTTCCTCGTAATTGAATGTTTTTTTCTTTGAGAAAGACATGGCTCCAAGTCGCGGTTAGCTCTACTAGCATATCATACACGTGCGGCGGAAATGAGTATCAGCAACCATGGACAACGATAAGTCGGTGCGACACACGACATGTGTGAAAGCGTAGATTTATTTAACTTAATATTCTTCTATATTACCGACTAATACGGCAGTTATGATTATTAAGCTTCGAAAAATTATTATTATCATTATTTATTGACCAATAGACAACAAATTAGTCGGTTAAACTCTTTTAGAAATTTTTATCCAATTTATTCACAAGACTGAGCAAATTAGTATAATTTTCTGAAGAAAAGGCATTTAAGGGTAAACAATTTGATACTTCTTAATTATTTCTCAGTAAAAGCCTTTTCACGATTCTTCATTAATCAATGTTCACATTGAAAAAGAAAGTCAATAAATCTATGTAACTTACAGGATCATTCAAAAGTCATCTCAAGATAAAAAAGAAAGAAAATAACTGCGTGTGATAGGTTGAGAAAATTGCTTTTTACCAGAAGTTAAGAGTTTTGGACAACCTGGCAATTAAAAAAAATAGTATTCAGTGTAATTACTCGGTAAATCGTAGAGAACAATATAATTTTTCAGAAATGACAAATGAAAACACCATGTGAATTGGCATTAAATATTTCTATCATAATCAAGTAAAGAAAAGGAATAAATGAAATAATAAAAAGAGACTTACCTCTAAGTATCACAACACACAATTGTAGCGATTTTAAATACGAGACTTAAATTATGTGTTTATTTCATATAAGAATTTTCTGAAGAAAGCTCAATTTAAATAAATGCATGTAAATGTATTTTTATAAATATTAACAATCACTTCCCCTATCTCCCACCCACTTTCCACTACCACTGCATATTATGTCGTATTTTTTCCCACTTGGACACGTCAGGGTGACATGATCTTGATACAAATAGGAATTTCCTTCTATAGAAGTAAGGTCAGACACGTTAGGTTTGTAACAAGAAATTTCTAGAATGATTTAAAAAATATGAGCGTTTTATTTTGGGGATTTTTGTTTTAAATCTTTCAAACTTACTGACACAACTTCCTGGCATTTTTGTCCATTTTGTAGTCGCCAGACAACGAATGGCGGTGTTACCAAAAGGTTTGTAGCCCTCCTGGCAATCGTAAGATACTGTTTTTCCAAAAACAAAATTTGACGGATCCGTAGATTTTAGCTTCATTTTGGGGTATGTTGGGGGCTGGCCACATTCAACAGCTGTAAAATAATACTATTCAAGTTGGTCCATAACGAATGAAAACATTTTCATATTTTGTGACTTTGTAACTTAGAAAGGCTTACAACTTGATGAAACTTAGTTCTTTTACATGCTGATTTAAAAAAAAAATGGCTTTCCCACTTAGAATACTATCGCTGTTTTCCTAACCGTTGGTTGTTTGGTTTTCTTTAGAATCCGTTGTTACCGAGATACCAACCTTTCTGTGTCAGAAGGTCGATAAACATGACAAAAGGAACACAATATGAAAATACTTCAAAAAGTAGACTTTTCACTCAGAAAAAAATTAATAAGGTACCCACTTGTTTTAGCATCTTGTGGAAAAAACAATAGCCAAACGTTGATGCCGATAAAGGGCACACGAGAAAATACGAAGGATGACGAGGTCCAACGTCAAAAAGTTTATTCCACCACCAATTTTTTTGGTACTCTTCAGACTGCATGAAGAGGGGGGAGGGCAATTATAGGACTTTTAATTCAAGATGCGAATTGCTGGTTGCGATAGCTTTTTGGGTTAAATAGACCCATATGCTGGACAAATGTTGTCATCCTTAGATTTGCAGATGATGTATTACAATTATTGATACTAATCACATATTGGTATATAGCAAGGAGGAATTAGAGCCACCAACATTGGTATTTGGGACGAGTGTAGGTTAAAGGTGAAAAGTCCAGGCAGCGCTAATGGAAGTTAATAGGGGAAAAGTGAGATATGATTTCTTCTGAGATATGAAGGACTAATTATATAATAATAGAGGCAGAGGGACAGAGGTTTACGTAAGGTTATTTAGGGCTCACTGTAGGAAGAAGTGAAGGTGGGTCCAACAACTATTCAGTTTGACGATCTAGTGGTGATAATAAGAAAATCGATACTGTCCAAATCAGACAAATTGGAAAAGACATTAAGCTATAAGATTTTTAATTTACTTACGTTGGCAAGTCATGTTGAGTGGGGTCCAATAGCCTTCAGTTATACATGTTGTGTAATTACTTCCCAACATTTTGAACCCATGGCGGCATTTATAGTAAACGCTTTTATAAAATCCGCTATGATAATTTTCTACAGATTCCGTTATCATAAGCCCATTACGAGGAGCTGGTGGCACATAATCGATAGAACATGTTTTTGGTTTAACCACCTTCGGGATTTCTTCACATTTAGGAGGTAAATAATCCCAAGTCCCTAGAATAACATTATTTTTAAATAATGTCAACAAAATGTCTGTTTTGTTATTTTTTACCGTTTTCTAAACAAGTCAAAATACTTTCTCCTTTTAGTATGGTGTTATTGTTGCAAGTAATTTCAATTTTTACTCCCGGTTCAAACGACTTCCTTTCGCAAAATTCGTAAGATTCTTCAGAAATTATGGTAACATTGGCACCTTCCGGCTTATCGATTTCTTTGCAATCAGACTTACCTGAAAGAATATTAAATAATTAATATTTTTTATGTTAGATTAATAATATTTATTTATGAAACTACCTATACAATATGGCATTGCAGAAGACCAAGTTCCGTTTTCTGTACAAATGCTTTCATTTTTACCCAATAAGATGTACCCATATAAACACCAATAAATGACCTTATCACTATAAGAAAATCTTTTTCCAATAACTCTTCCGTTTTGAAGATAGCCAGGATAACCGCAATACACCTCTTAAACATATAAAATATTGTTAAATTCATCAAATCTTGATTACTTTTTGATCCAAATAGCAGGTACTTTATAAATTATAAAACTTGGGTATTGAGATGGCTTATCTTTCCTTGTTATAATTCGGATAAAAATTTAATTAAGAAGTAATTGACCTTACTTACGTCTTTTTTTCTATGAATTTAGGAAGATAAATTTAAAATGTTTTAAAAAATAAGGAAATCATTTTTAATTTCTTTTGTTCTTTACACCATTTTAGATATATTCTTTTAATTTATTTCATCCATTTTTATTTTTTAAATGACAATAGTATTGTAAAGAACGACTTACTTTTGCACGTCGGCGTTATTTTACCCTCCCACTGCTGGGGTTTCAAACACTTTCTTCCACCTAAATATGTTTTCGGAGAAAGTACAAAACCAGAATTGCATTCGTAGAAGGCGCGGTTATCCCTGATTTTAATAACACCATTGAGTAATGGCGGAGGCGTGGGACAGTCCGAACAAAATGTTGAATTTTCAATCTTAAAACAACAGATATTACCGATATTAATAAGGATAATATTTATTATTAATATCGTTGAATTCGTTTTAATTGTAAGCCCTTGTCAAACGTAAAAAGCAATACTGTTAAAAGTAATACACTGCCTTATATGTAGGGTTGCCACCCGTACTTTATTAAAAAGTATTGTACTCTATTTCGACTGTGCGTACGTTATATTTTACAAGACACATAAAGTACGCAAAAATACTTTATTTAAGGCCTTGAGTAAACATCGTAATTTTGTAAGCGATTATTCGAAATTCAAAGTATTTTTCCATCAATAATATTACACAATACAATATTTTTGAGAATGTTTCTAAGTACGAAACAACCTGATTTCCCAAATTTATTCAAAGTAGTGTCACTTTTGCTGTCCGTTCCGGCCACTTCAGCATTTACAGAAAGAGTATTGTCTGTTATGAACACAAAGTGGCGGGACGACAGGAATAAAGCTTCATTAAAACTAATTAAAAATGAACTTTTAGTTTACTTAAATCTTTGTTTGCCATGTTTAGAGGCTATTAATGTATTTAAGAGCGACAGCAATTTGTTACTGCTGCTAGGTGTAACAAAAAATATGTTTTGAAAAATAAAAAATATAATAATTTATTTTTATGCTTACTTTTTTTTTGAAACATTTAGTCGAGAAATACTTTATGTAAAGCCTGAAAAGGTGGCAACCCAACTTATACGGAACAATATCGATTTGGTCGGTATTTTACCAAGACTGTCTATAGCAGTGATTCCGAACCTTGGGGTAATTACCCCCGCGGGGGTAAATCAATTATTTTGTGGGGGTAACAAAGAACCTAATAATTAAGACCTAAAAAACGTAGCTATATAGTAAAAATATAAAATTATAGATGTCGATGATACACTGAAGCAATATTTTCCGGATATGGATAATCGTCAGTCCAGTTGTAGCCAAAGTGGAATATCTTGGACTACGCCAGAATACTACTTGCAGAGTAGAATTTCAAAATTATGATCTTAGCACATTTTGGCGAAAAGCTGGTGCCGAATATCCTGCTCTAGCTAAGAGAGCTTTGAAAATGCTAATACCCTTTGCCAGCACCTATAGATGTAGAGTGGTTTTTCAATTTTCAAAACAAAGACCAGAATCCTTCTAAATGTGGAACATGAGTTAGGATCCGCTTTAAGCGAAATTAAAGCTAACATAAAAAAACTTGAAAAATGCAAAGTAATACCAACCATCACACTAACTATTTTTGTTTAATTTATTGTTTAGGTATATAAAATTGTAAGACTGATGTGCAATTTGTGATTATTAAAGATATCTGTATTGGCTTGTGTTGTTTGTATTGATAACATTTTAAGGTCAGGGTAAAATCAGTTTTCTTAATAGGTCACAGGGGTAACAATATTAAAAAGGTTAGGAACCACTGGTCTATAGCATGCTGATAAGGACTAATAAGTCCTAAACCTTGATTAATGTTCTTTATTATAATGGCGCACCACGAAAAATAATTCCAATGTAATTTTCATTTTAAACAATGAGAAAAGTTTTATGTAATTTGATTATCTTCCTCGTCTACTCACCTTTATGGTTCCTCGTATTGAACTTTTCATTTCTGCCCAACTGTAGAGGTCTCCGTAAATATTTTTATCACATGAAGTCATTATTTCGTTTATTTCCGAAGAAAATAACTGTTTCTGCCAAAAGTTCAAAGAGTTTATTCTCCCAACAAATGCTTCCGTTTGACTAAACATTCCGCCGAATGCATCTTGCTCCTGTCCAACAATCATTATTCCATTTCCTATTGAAAAGAAAAACACCGAAAAATGCATAACACTCCAATTTTCTGAGGTAGATTTTAATTGAAATATTTTTCATTAAACGATTAACTCAGGAAATGGAGTATAATAAAACAGTTAAACTGGATTGTATGTTATGTAACCTTTAGCAAGTCAAAATTACTTCTATGAAAATTTTAGAGAGTACCTACAAGTAAAATAATTTTTGTATATTAAGAACGACATTGATAATTGCATTGATAATCGAAGAATTCAATACATTAGCAGAGATCAAAAGAAGCCTATGAAAGAAACGAAAATCACTCCAATTGATTTAAGACATGGGAAGGTGTCTCTTGCAATGACAAAGCTCGTTTTGATTTTCTTGATCCAGAAAAGACATGCAGAACTAATAATATGGAAATAGGAGATGAAAGTGAAAAGTGAAACTTATAGTGGTGTTTGCACATTGTAATAAGAGAATGAAATGGAATCCATAGTTTGAATTTTAGATTACACGCATTTTAGTTTTCAGTTTTACACAGCTAGCATATATCAATTCGATATTGTTTTGTCGTAATTCATAGAATTTTGTAGTTCCTTACCAAAGGTACGATAAGTAGTGATTTAGAAGGTGCTAATATCAGTTTGGAACTTCAAAATTCCATGGACCATGATATTTAACCCGGAAAACAATATCGATCCAATATTTTAGATTATCTATTTCCAAGGAGTTTAGAATTTTTTGGGCTCTTTTGAGTTAAAAAATTAGAAGGCATTCATGCCTCATCATCCCTTTTTAAAGCTTCTAATACCTTCTAATAGTCAATGTGATCAACTTTCGTTCATCATTTTATATAATGTTTGATCGGTGATACTAGCAAAACTTTTAACGGTAAAAATGTATTTTAGAATTTTTTATGTATAGAAAATACGTTTAAAAAAAGTATTTCAAATAAAATACAATTTTTTTTCTCAAAAAATTATTTAAACGCTAGATAAAAATAGGAATTTTGTTTTTCATATTAAATGTAAGTATTTCAAATAAATCACATCTCTGGTCACTACGATATCATATTTTACTAATCACTTATACTATTACATTTAAATGATGGCGACATAGTTCTGGTTCTATACCCCTTAGGTGAATGATGAGGATAAGGTGGGTAGAAAAGGTTAGAAATTAATAGGAGAACAGAGGACTCTATGGAAGTCAATAAAAAATAGGCGAAATAGGTTGGTAGGACACCTTCTCAGGCATGAAGGTCTAGTCAGAGACATATTAGAGGTAGAAACAGGAGTTAGGAGGGGTAGAGGTAGACCTAGGTTAGATTACTGTTTGCAAATGGTTAAGGATGTGGGTTGATCTAGTTTTAAGGAAATGCGAAGCTTAGCTCAGGATAGGAAGGAGTGGAGGTACGTGTCCAACCAGACTTAGTACTGACGACCTTATGATGACCCCTTATTACTTTTACTGAAAATTATTATTCACGATTACCTTCAATGCTAGCTCCTTTTGCCAAGTTTACTCCCTTTTTCACATTAACGCCGTCCACAAAAACATTATAAGCTCCGCTATTGTTCCACGTGATACAGACAAAGTGCCAAGCACCATCACTGAGATTAACATCCGTAATAGCATATTGATTATTTATGTATAAAACCAAACTAAAAATTTAATATTTTCAACTACTTCTTACTACTTACCGCCGCTGTTTGCTGGTTTACCCTGAATAATCCATTGCAGTAAAGGCGTTATCAAACGTTTTGGTAGCATACGAAAAAATCGTACCGTAATTAAATTCGTCTGAGGTTTTAATCCAAAGAGATACAGATACCTAAAAACTCGTTGATTATTATTGATGGTGGATTGATAAGAAAATTTCAAATTATATCAGTTTTGAAAACATATTACTAAATTCTATTAATTATTCTTCCATTTTGTATTCAGTTTAATCAAAGCAATATTGGAATAAAGAGAAATTTTAGTTAATTAAAAAATCATAGCGGTGGTTTNGTTTTTCATTATTTATTTATTTAATTTTTATTTTAATCGTACGGCGAGTTATAACAATTTTATGTTAGTTTGCTATTTAGTTTTGTATTTGTACAAAGTTTTGAGTAATTTTTGTTAATGCTTCTTGATCTTAAAGCAAATACTACTTAACCAAATCCATCAGAATTATAATTTTAACTAAATAAAATTAGCCTTGAGAGAGGCCAACAACTTGGACGAAACGTCGGCTGTGGTTTTTTAATTAGATGAATTACTTTTAATCCCAACATCGCTTTGATTGAACAATTGAATACATTACTTAAAAAAATTAAAAAAACGAACTGTCATACGGATACCAATCAATAACAAGTGAAGCATCAATTTTTTCAAAAATTATACATTTTAAAAAAGTAAGCTTTACTTTGTCGTGACGAATTATTCATAATGTTTGAATAAAAAATTCGTTCTTTTTGTTACCTATACTAACGTCTTTATTCGTAAGTATAAGTATGTTAAAATTTAAATACGTCTAGGTAATTTGTGCGTTAACTACAAACAACTGACAAATGTTAAGCACATTGTCATTGACAATTTGTCAAACAATCACCACAAACATATGGCACATGGTAATTTTAATCTCGTTTTATGTTAATCTGTAATCGTAAAACGACTTCATATTATAACTTGTTTAAACGTTATGATAAGTAAGTACATACATTATTTGTAGATAACTTATTTATGACAATAAAATATAGATATACCGTATGCGAAAGAGTGGAACTTGATATTGGAAACTAGCCACTTGGGTCACGACGTCCGGTGGTTAAAATTCAAACTAGAATAAGGTGGCATTATCTATTGAAAACGCCTTAAATTATGCATAAAATTAAATAAATACAATTTATTATTTATTGGTTGGCGTAGGAGTTAATTTTAAGTGGTTTCGGGTTGTTGGGGTATGATATATTTAGATTTTCTTTGACGTTTCGTCCAAATGAGATTAATGAAGGCTGCACACATAATATTTTAATTTTGTATATTACAGTTAAAAAGAAAATAAAAGAAAATTTACAAAAAACAGATCTTTACTAACCTTTTGCTAGTAATAAAAAAATTAACCTATGATTTAAGAAGTAAGTACTAAGCATTTTCGATCGTCAATAGAATAAAAATTTCAGTTTTATTTTCAACATAAAACTTACTACAAGTAAAATTGAAATTACTTAATTAATAAATTTGAAACTGCCCAATTAAAAATTTCACTCAAAGAAAGCATTAAGTTATTTAATTATCTGTTACTGATTCAAAATAAATGTATTTATTTCAAATTTGCAAATTTATAAAAAGACAAGCTATGCCTTTATGTCAAATCCCATTAGGAATTTCAAAGTATCCTCAATTCGAATTGCCGCTTCCTAGACTTGTGTATGCTTGCGCTGTTATTGCTGTGACTATTAAAAAGAGCGGCATATTCTAACTCAATAGAAGATCCGCACTTTCGCACACGGTATATAGTAAGTACTATATCACCTCCGCTACTTGATTCGCACTTAAGACTTAAGTAGATATGTAAATATTTAAGAGTGATGCTCTTAATGGTAATCAACTGAAATAAATGCACCTACTTGCGTTAAGTTGTTAGAAAATCCAGGCAGACCTACGTAATCCGTTGTCACTGGATAATGAAAATGCATGACATAATTACTTTCCATTTGTATTTCGCACCATTGTCCGGTAAATATTTTGCCACAGATGCAATGATAGCTTTCTTCAAGTGAAACACAAGTGCCGCCGTTTTGGCAAGGTTTGTCTAGACAATAATCTTTCTTTCCGAGACAATTTTGACCCTCATATCCAACAGGACATTTGCATCTACCAAAATATTTAATTGTACACAAACAATTAATGAATGTTGTTCCAAAAGTATTTTTGAATTCCATTTAAATGAAAATTATTGTAATATATTATTTAACATTCTACATTTAAATAAGACCTGCAGTCAATTTAAAACATCAGGTAATACTTCAATTATATTCGCCTGATATTTCGTTCACTCTTTAAACTACTGTTGAAAGTGTTTCGAAACATGACCTAGTGTGAGAACAAATATAGAATGCCAAAAAAAGTTGGAATCTTCATAAGATTTCCTCACCTATAGCTCAAGGGATTTGCGTTGACCTCCATTATATTAACACATATTTCGTTGGATTCACAAGGTCTATAATCACATGGCAGAATATTACAACGTTTTCCTAAAAAGCCATCTTTGCATACGCATCTGAAACTTTGATATTCTTCCACGCAACTTGCGTTGTTTTCACAAAGACCTTCCCTGCAATATCTAAAGTTTAATTGGCAGGCATCACCAGCGAATCCTAAAAACATAATCTCACTAAAACTTTGCTTTTTTGTCATCTTTTGAATAATTCAAGATTATTTTTATGGTGAATACATTTCGAGAAAACATGAATATGTCAAATTACAAAAGTTTGAAATGATCAGAAAAACGTCGAGGGACCGATTCTCCCGTTCCTTTAATCAAACAGAAGGCTAAATAGTGAGATACAAACATTTTGCGAAAAGTGAATGGATCTAATCGCACAATAAGAATGTTCAAGTAAAATTAGCAAAAGATTGAAAATGTAAGTTATACCATCATCATAAGGTGGTCAGTCCTAAGACTGGTTGGATACGCACCTCCACTTTTTCCTATACTGAATTAATCTTCGCATTTCCCTAAAATTGCAACAGCCCACATCCTTAACTATTTGCGAACAGTAATCTTGGTCTACCTCTACTCTTCTTAACTTCTTTTTTGCTTCTAATATGTCTCTGACTAGACCTTCGTCCTGAGAAGGTGTCCCACTAACCTATCTCGCCTATTTCTTATTGACTTCCATAAAGTCCTCTGTTCTACTATTCTCTCTAATACCTCTCCATTTCTAACCTTCTCTATCAACGGTATCCTCATCGTTCGTTTGTAACACCACATTTCGAACGCTTCTAACCTTTTCTTTTCAGCCGCGCCCACCATCCATGTTTCGCACCCGTACAGTGCCGCGCTCCAAACTTACGCCTTTAAGAATCTTTTTCAAATTTTTAATTAACCGTTCGCGACTACGAAGTGACTTCTTTTTATTAAAGGCGACTCAACCCTACGCTTTATATCCTTACTACACTTTCCGTCCTAATCTTTCGTTCCCTACTTTTTCTTCCCTTCCATACCATTATTTTTGTTTTACTTTTATTACTAAACAGTCTCGTTTAAATACAAAACGGGGAACAAACATTCAAGGAGCGAAAGTCCCTACAAAAAAGAAAAATCACTCCTTCGATTACTAGTGTTTTAATGGATAGTTTTTCTATTCCCTGACTAGCTGGTCTGCCAGGAGGCGTCAAAGATGAGTATAGCAATCAAACATAAAATTTAATTAACATTATCTAATTTTTATGGCTTTTGATGCATACCTGGTGGACAAAGACAGAATTCTTCTCCATCTTCCGATATGAAACATGTACCATTGTTATAACAAGTTTTGTTGCATCTTTCTTCAACTTCTTCGCAATTACTTCCCGAATATCCTTCGGGACACCGGCACACGTAACCATCAACGTCTTCCTCAGTTCCAGTAAAACAGTGGCCACCGTTGAGGCAAGGATTTGAGTCGCAGCTGTTAATTCTTTTTTCACAGTTTGATCCTGAAAATTTGTTACATAACTAAGTTTCTTTGTGAATTGTTTTATGAGATAATCCCCCTTTTCAGACTTGTGTTTGGCACGGTCCTTTTTACAAATTTCTCAATGTTCAAAACTATGGGTGAAATTTTCTTGTTGTTTTTTTTCTCTTATTTTCCGAATTGGAATTGAAAGAACATAAATAGTGCGTTTCAGAAAATACTACAAACGGCACAGTGAACGCCATCTGTAGCACGATGCTACATTTTAGGATTACGTGACGCGCTGATGAGATCCAAAAAGATCGAAATCGCGATCCGCGTCTGGCAGTTTCGACAGAATACAGACCACTTCGAATTATTTTATTCGATTAAGCTAACGTGCCTATCACGTTGAGGTTGGCTACGCCAGGATTCGTTTTCAGCAAGTAGATATCCACACAAGTGGACCTTGTTGAAAAATACGTAATCCTAAAATGTAGCATCGTGCTACAGATGGCGTTCACTGTGCCGTTTGTAGTATTTTCTGAAACGCACTGTTAAGACAGCAGGTAAAAGTTGGTCTGTGTTCTGTCGGAGCTGTCTGCGACGCGCTGATGAGATCCAAAAAGATCGAAATCGCGATCCGCGTCTGGCAGTTTCGACAGAATACAGACCACTTCGAATTATTTTATTTAGAACATAAATAGTCGCATACTTACCTATAGCTCCACTGGGACATTTGCAATTGTACAAAAATTCATTTACGACTATACATTTCCCTCCATTGCAAACATTTGGATCGCTCTGACAAATCTTTTCAGACGTTGGCACGCACTTTTTCTCAGAATCAGCTCTTGAAGAGTACGTCGTGAAATATTCTGGACATGGGAGGCATTTGGTTTGACCATAATCGGGCTGATAAGAGCCCTGAGGGCAGGAACGGCAATAGGGCATTAGAGTTACATGTTCAACAGTTGCATTAGAATTGCGTTTTGACGATCGAACTAATTTCTTTCTTGCCATCATTCCCGGTGGACAATGTTCTAAAATGTATCGACGATTAATGATTTAAATTTTCCATATGGAGATTATTTATTACCCTTGCAGTCAGTAGGAATCTTTGATCGAAACTTTTTCGTTGAATAGTTTAAAGGACACTTTTTGCAGTCAGTTTGTCCGAGCTCATCATTGTATGTACCAATGGGACAATTCTGACAGGCATTGCGGGTGCTGTTTTTGAATGTTCCTAACGGACATTTTACTGAAAGACATTAGGCGTTATATTAATGCAATTCATGAATGTAGAAGTTTATCCAGGGTTTTTTTGGTATTTATTATAGAATCTTTATCTTTCGAATGGTACCCTCTGTGCTATAAATCTACACAAAATAAAAAAAGTAAAAGGGTAAACGCGGACTATCTATGTAAAACAAACTTCTCTGGATGTTTTATTCCCCCCAGTATTAGCTGGTGTGGATGGGTAGAAGCTGATGGGCAGACAATACCTCCGACCTACACTGTGGTGCAAAGCCTGATGGTAGAGCGGAAGTCTTCTTCGCCTTTTTGTATGTTATTAACCGATAATATTTTTAAACAGTAAATAGAGTATTGTGGTGTTATAGGCGAATTATGAGGATAACGTGGGTAGAAAAGGTTAAAAATAAAGAGGTATTGGAAAGAATTGGAGAACAGAGGACTCTATGGAAGTCAATAAAAAATAGGCGAGATAGGTTGGTAGGACACCTTCTCAGGCATAAAGGTCTAGTCAGACACATATTAGAGGCAGAAACAGGAGTTAAAAGGGGTAGAGATAGACCTAAGTTAGATTATTGTTCATAAACAGTTAAGGATGTGGATTGTTCTAGTTTTATGGAAAGTTTAGCTCAGGATAGGAAAGAGTGGAGGTACGTGTCCAACCAGTCTTAGGACTGACGACCCTATTATGATGATGATGAAATAGAGTATTAACGTTTGCGGTTAGTGAGAAAATCACTTTGAAAGTTATGCAGGTATGGCAAGTTTGAAATAAACTATGCATAGAGTATGGAAAGAAAAGCCTCAATAGTTTTTTCAATTTTACGTTTTAGAAAATATGAAAGTTGGTGCAGGAAAGGAAATGATGTAGGTGCGTGTTCAACAAGTCTTCAGACTAACAATGATGATGATGAGTATATACAAAACGCTGTAACTTTGCTGTTATTAATCGAAATCGGTACATTTTGTTCATTTGTTATCGCTTTTTATAGTCATAAAAATTGTTGATATTGTAACTTACCACATTTATGCTTTCTTCTCATAAATCCTTGTGGACATATAATCCTTTTTTCCAAATTTATGCCAAAAATTTTAAAACGCTTTTTTCCAATTATTTTCATATTTTTCAACTTCTCGTTGAAGCTTTCTGTGTCATACTGGCTGATGTTGGAAGCGATTCCTAGTTTAAAATAGACCCGCATTTTACGTTTACCTTTTTTGTTTTTTTGTTTCTTTTTTGATACACTAGTTGCAGTTAAAATTTCCCTTTTTATTACGTTCGTTGTCTCCTCTTTTTCTGAAACATCCTTTTCACATAGAAGATTTGTTTCAATATCTGCAGTCGTTTTAGCTATTTCAATTAGATTGTTTTGAATGTCGTTTTTCATCTATGAAATAAAAACTTCAGAAAGTTACAATTTTTAAAAATACAACAGTCATTCAATAAAAATATAACTCATTCAAAAGTCGTGTAAGAAGGAAATTTAGGGTACACAATGTTAACATTTCGCTGACGTTATTCGAATTCTTTCAATGGGGAAAATGGGTTGAAACACAAAAAATATAAATGTCGTAAAAGTTAGATCTCGCTAATCAATATAACGGTAAATGTATTGATTCGATTGTTATTTGTACTTTATGATGTTTCATATTTATGGTAAATAAATTTAATTAATTTCTAACTTTACAGACCAGCTTCATCTTAAAATAAAATACTTCGAAATCTGAAGAACAACTGTAAGATCTCTTGAAAGTTAAAACTGGTCAAGATCTGTTTAATTACATAAGTGACAATATTAAGTTATTAAAATCATCGCGATGAATAACCCGAGATAAAAATGTTCAGTCTCTCAGAGTTTCGACTCGAGTCTCCGTCTCTCCTTGAGTCTCTCTGGTGTCGCTGAGAGAGACTGTCAAAAAAACTGTTTAGCGTCTCTGAACGAGAGACTCGAGTCGCTCATAGAGAAATCCTCATTTCGTATCCAGTCTCTGAACGAGAGACTTGAATCTCTGAACGAGAGATTCAATAAGTGGTGTCTCGATAGACGGTTAAAATTTTCTAAGTTCAACATATTTTAGAGATCCCAGTCTTTTCAGTTTTATTCATTCAGTCTCTCTGTGAGAGACTCGTATATCTGAATTAACAATTTTATCGTTCGAGTCTCTCATACAGAGACTGTGAGAGATCCATAAAAACACCTAGACAATAACTGAGAGGCTGTAAAAAACTGTGAGAGACGCTGAAAGACTCTGAGAGACTGGAGAGAGACTGAAAATATTTTCGTTTAGGGAAATACGTATTTGTTATAAAATTAGCTGAAATTTACACAGTAGCATTACTTTTGTTAATTGTACCTCATTTAGTTCGTCTTCATCTTCACAAAACTTGTCATCTGTTTCATCATCATCAGGTTCAACATTAATTATTCCATCGAGGGATGTACCAGCTGGGAATGCTGTTACTAAAAGTTTTATTTTCAAACGTACAATAATTAAATAATAGTTAAATACTCATTAGTATTTATTTGTGAATACTGCAAATAACTGCAGTATCTATATCTAAAATAGCAATAAAAATTCACGACACACAATCAATGAATGTCTACTTAAAATAAAATATGCAAAACGACATGATTTAGAAATTCAAACAAAGTTCTTTCAAAGTTACGTAATCCGTCAACATATTGTGAATATAATCATTCACAGCATCCTGCCAACTATGTAAGGTCATTTTTGAAAAAAAAAAGAAAAGATTATTGGATGTGAATTATAAATAATACAAACTTGTACAACCAGGAAATCCAATGCTCTCCGATGAATAATAATAGAACGGGTCATCATCACTACATAAGAATAACGAATTATCTAAAGGTCCTACTGAGTCGCTAATACTATCAAATGGTAACGCATAACCATCTTCACAAGTTACCAAACACTGCATACCAGGAACCAACGAAGAATTCGATGTTTCGCAAATACTTTTCCCATTATCAGGGTTAGAAAGGGGTTCACAATGTGAGACTGAAAATAATAGATTATGCAAAAAATAGACAGAGAACAACCAGGAATAATGGTTGTTAATTGTAAGATGTATGAGAAATTGCACTCAATTTTAGAAGTTAATTTAGACTTTCACGGCTGGATTTCTGGATTTGAACCACGTTTTGTTGATGAAAACCTCATGTAGGAGATTCTACTTCGATAAGGTGAAGTTCCTGAAGTTGTCCCTTGTGATAGAAGACGACTACCACATTTGACATTGCCATGATTCCTCATGGGGATTTTATCAATAACACGCGGTTAGAATTGGGAAATTCAGTTTTTCCAGAACTCAATTTACGTACAATGAAAATTAAACCATTATGGTATGGATTAATAGGTATGCAAACTATCTTTATATAGTTAGATAATAAAAATTAATATCTCGAAAAAGACTATTTTAAGACCGTAACTAGAACCATGTTAATAATATGAAGTGAAATGTTTAGCGTCTGAACACGTTAATATAATATTAATTAAAAATTCTTCTTAGAATCTGCCAAAAAGTAGAATAGAAAATTCTATGCAAATAAAAATTTCTTACTTTCTACGGTAATGTTTAAAGTGCACGTGTTTGTATTATTCGATGGATCTACTGCGCTATATTTCACCTGGGTTACTCCCAGTCCAAAAATACCAAAATCAAGTGATTTAGTAACCTGAAAAAAGCCATATTCACTCACAACTTAACAACTACAATAAATAAATTTTTAAAGAGGAATAAATAATTGTTTAGTATCAAACAATAAATATAAAGCACAATATCAGATGTTTCATTAAATTTAATATATACTCGACATATGTTGCGGACCTAGTCAATTTCAATTTTTTAATCGCTATAAACTACCTCAGTTTAATAAGAAAAAACTTGTTGCTGTTGTCACACCTTCGCCGGGAATCGAACCCGGGATCTTTGGTTTTACGCACCAATGCTCTGACCACTAGTAGTAGAATATTACTCTTAATAATGGACTAGGTCCGAAACGTATGTCTAATACATATTAAATTTAGTGAAACATCTGACATTGTGTTTTATTTTTATTGTTTGATATTAATAACCATGTTTCACAATAAAAGCACCCAAGTCAGTTTAAGTAATTTTTCGTCTTAATTCAATGAAAAGCTATATTAGTTACCTATAGATTAAATGGTTAACTTAAATTAATGATTAATATTCATGAAATTGAAATTTTTGAGATTTAAAATATTAAAATATATCGATAGAAAACTATTTTAAGGTAGCTGGAGAAAAATGTTATATTCATGTATATATTATTTATCATTTATTACTAAGATGTCTTACCGTAACTATTCCAGAGTTATCAAAAAAGTTTGGTTCATCCCACGTTATGTTCACTTGATCTTTGTTTGTCAAAAACGGAGGAGGATCAAAACAATTTTCAACTAACGGAGGCTGATTGTCTAAAATAAAATAAAGCTTTTCACGTGTTATATCCACGTATATTGAAGCCCTTTGCCTACCTTCTATTTTAACGGAAAATGTACAGTTGGCTTCGTTTTTGAACAGATCTTCGGCATAATATGTTAGATGCGTCACACCAATTCTGAACTTAACATTTTTGGTATACCTTATAGCAGGGTGCAACCATACTTTTACATCCATCCCGGAATTATCTAATAATCAAAATCGAAAAGCACCATGATAAAAAGTAATAAATAAAAATATGATGTGCTGCAGGGTTCAAAATTCTAGTATAACCAATTTTAAATGTACTGTTCGTTTCAAGAAATTGGAGATATGCCCCTTCGCTTTATTAGGATGCGCCGTAGCATAATTCCAAATTCAATCATATTTGTCTGCGGAGCTCATTTCTCCACCGATCATTGAGCGAGAACTAGACAAAAGTGTACAGTACTATTTGCAAAATTATTTAAACTGTTTCGTTAAAATTTAAGAATATGCTTTATTTAAAAGCATATTTAGTCAAAAATAATACCAAATGAATTAACTTAACGTTCTACACGCCTATAAAACTTTTGCTTTGTTTTCTATTGTTAATTTATATACATTTTTGTGTTAAGAAATTGCTAAACATTTTCGTCTAGTACTGTACAGTTCTAGCCGATCTTCTAAGACCGCCCATCGAGAGATCTGCTCGTTCAAGCTTGTTCCAACTATTTCTGTCTTGCTCACGCCTAGTGTGTATTCTTTCTATCTTCGCGCAGATTTCTTCAAGGTCACAATTTTAACAAATTGAAATAGACTGTACCTTTTGCTATTGGCTCCTTCCACGAAACTAATCCAAATCGAGCTCCTTCCACTGCATATCCATGAATATCATCAGGACATATAATTGTTGGTGGAGTTTTATCTACAAAATTGCCCATAATTGCTCATGTTTTTTTATTCTTTTCTAATTAGTTATAGATTATAGTCACATCCATATAACCAAATTATAAATATGACGCATTCTTTCGAAAACATGGCAGATTATACAGTTAAAGAATCATGAATATAACATGAACAAGGACGAATTCCCTCTGTCAACTTCTTAGATCAATATGTTTCACACTTTTGCCGTTTTCGTCAGTCTCGCATAAAGACTTAAACCGAAACTAGAAACCCTTCATGCACTCAAAAATTTGTAATCACCAAACATGATAAAAAAAAGCTCGTATAAGAATCAAAACTTCATTTGAGCAGAATTAGAATTTAGTCTTTTTTGAATGGCTGGGGATGGAACCAGCTGAAACGTTGTAGGTACGCATCGACAAATAAAAGCAAACAAATTCCTAAATATGTGACAACAAGGTAAAGGCTTTCGTGGCCAGTAAATGAACCAATGCTGCCCTAATTCAGTTCTAATTGTTGTCGTCGGTTGAAATTGCTTGCATTACGCTAACACGTGTGACTAGCTTCTTTAAAGTTCCTTCCATCTTTGATGCTGGATGTGAGCTACATCGGAGATGAAAGGATCTCTGGAGAAGTCGCCACTCGTGTTAGCGAAACGTTAGGAAACCTTTAGACTCGAATTAGGGAGGCATCCATTCCTAAATATGTCTTTGAACAACTACATATCAGACTTCAAACATAAACCATCAAAAGATATATGAATTCCTTTGCATATGGTCGACTGTTTCTTCTTATTCCATGACTTTCCTGTACATGTAATTTCCTTAGGCCCAACGTATTCAAAGCCTTCATCACAGAAATACTTGCATGTCTTTCTATACGGTTGTTTTCGTGTTGTGCATGATTTAGGTTCGATTCTTCCATGAGGAATTTTTGACAATTTGTTGCAACTGACCTCTACAATTTACTACATCAATTTTTCAATTCAACTCATATTTTTTTTATATGAAGATGTTGTGTTAACAGGTATATACTTTTACATGTTGTGGGAAGTCCGTCCCATTCTGCTATAGGGAGACAAGTCCTTAATGGTGTACCGATTAGTAGCCTCCCTTTCTTGCATTCAAACTTACAAGTACTGTCGACAGGAAAACGTGTTCCAGAAACATTTTGTAATATTCCTACACCAGCGTTGAAACATTTTATAATACCTTCTGCTGGAGGAAGTAACAGCGGACACGTTTTCACTATAACAAAATTAAAGAAACGCCCAGGAGATTAAGATGATATTTGTAATTGTACATAGTTGGTAACTTGATTAAAATAATTAAAAGGTGAAAGGGGGGAGCGAACTTCATTTTTATTTAATTTTGAAGTAAAAACTTTTAACACTTATAAGTCTATTTACGTTAAATAAAACTCAACGGTTTTTAATTCCAAAATTATATTTATTGTATCCACAATAATTACATGTTTCGGCATTACAGTGTCTTCTCCAGGTCGAATTTAATACTAAAGGGTATTTAGTGTTTGATTTTTTAAGGTAGTGCCTTTTTATTTAATTTCTTAGTTTTCATTCTTTCTAACACATTCTGTTTTAAGAGTTTATTTTCTGAATGAAGGATTTTAAAATATTTATGGAAATTGTGTAAACGTATGTAGACGATTGCTTATTGAAATGCGAAAAAGTACACGTAGACAAACAGATAGGGCATTCAATTTGAAACACAAAAACTAAAAATCAACTTACACTAAACGCCTCCATGAACAAAAAAAATCAATTAAAACTTCCCTCTTTTGTCGATCTTGTTTTGGCATCATTTTTTTTAACACTTGCTTATTGATTGGTAGGTAATTACAATTATAAAATACTTCATTTAGAAAATAAAGGCTTGAAAAAGAGTTTGTTAAAGGGAGTGAAAATTAACAAATTAAATAAAAAAAAATACTCAGACACAAAAATCCAGCCAATTATTAGGATTGTGAAACCACACTGACGTTTCGCTCTCAATTATGAAGTTTATTCGGGGTAGGAAGCCTACCAGTGTTCTGAAAAATAGTCGAAATTTTTACAGATTGGTGAGTGTGTGTGGGTTTGCGGTTCAACCACCGACCACTAAACACCAGTTTAGAATAAGAGAGATTGTATTGGAATGTTCTACAATATTTCTAGCGTTGTCTTCGCCTAAAATAACTCTCGAAAGTTTACGAATGTCCTCAGGTAGAATGTTCTGTAGTGAACTGTACCAGAAGAATCGAGAACATTCTGCAAAGTTCGGGGAATTAATGTATGAGTGGTGGAGCTGGTTTCTTAAACTATAATACGGTATTTTCGTAAATTTGGATCGATGAAAGTAAAAGTCTTACAATCTCCTATAATGTTTCTTATTTCTACAGTTTATTGTGTGGATGGATTCGCAGATCGATAGCACCCATTTTGAATAAATCGAAAATTTCGAGAATGTTCCCAGGTATTTCTCACCTAGAATGTTCTCGAATATCTAGCTAGTATTGAATAAATTCAACTTCCGATCTTTTATTTAGTAAGTTAGCAGCTTTATAAATATTAAGCAATAATATTTAGCTTTTTCCACTTGAAGAAGACACTGTGATGTCGAAATAATTATTGTGGATACAATTAACATAGTTTTGCAATTAAAACACGGTATTTTATTTAACATAAAAATTTTTCGGTTGCTTCTACAGGTACTTAGATTTCTTCCTGAATTCTGTTAGAATACCTTGGCATTGTGGTTCTTGTCCACTCCATGTGCCATTTTTCTGGCACAATCTAATACTGCTACCATTCAAAACATACCCGATGGCGCAACGCACACCACAAGCCGTGTTCAAAGTGGAACCGCAACCTTTATTTTTAATAAAATAGCCATTCTGTGGAGGTTTCAGTTTCGGACATTTTACAACTACAACATAATATTTACATTCACATTATTAATGTTTTTATTACAAAAATATGTACCTTCGCATTTGTTATCTTTGGTTGATTGGTAACCAGATTTACAAACGCAGCTTTTTACCCCTATAGCAGGGGGTTGAGAAATATGGTGGACGTCGGGACATGGTAAACAAAGGTTTGATCCATCAGAATAACTTCCTGGAGGACACACTGAAAACAGTTTTGTGTATTAATATATTATATAATTTTTACAGAGTATCTTGCGTGAATTTTCAACAAAAGATAATCGTGTTAAGAAATTGCTAAACATTTTCGTCTAGTACTGTACAGTTCTAGCCGATCTTCTAAGACCGCCCATCGAGAGCTCTGCTCGTTCAAGCTTGTTCCAACTATTTCTGTCTTGCTCACGCCTAGTGTGTATTCTTTCTATCTTCGCGCAG